GGGCTGTGCTTCCTCTGTCCCACCCCGGCCCTCAGGGACGAGCCTGCCCTTGGGGCCACACTGCAGCCACCCTCTGGGGACTCTGGCCCTCTGGGCAGCCTCCCAGCCTTTCTACCCTCTAAGTAACCCACGTCAGCCAAGGGCCGTCAGACGTAGCAGGTGTCCAGCTCCCACAGTAGGGGACCTCGCTCGGGCGCCCAAGCCAGGGCAAGGTGTGTGGGAGTTGATGGCCTGGACGCACAGGCTCTGGAAGAGCTTGCCAGGCTGGACAAGCTTCTGGGATTTCCCTCCAGCCATGGATCTGGGCGACCAGAGGGACCCAGGGCGAGCCCCTCATTCTGCTCCCAGTCTCCTGGCCCAAACCCCACTGAGGTGCCTGTGGCCAAAGTCAGCTGTGCAGGCACAAGGCCCTGAGATTTCCGTGGCAAGCCACAGTCCTGGCCAGGCCTGGCAGAAGTTCAGCCCCTCGCCCCTGGCCCTCTCCCAAAGGCCAGGAAGCCTTCCTCTTCTTGGATTTTGTCCCATTTGTTCTGGAAGGGAACAGGGTACAGCCACCCCTGCTGACCGCTGACCCCTAGGACTTTCCTTCCGGGTTCTCTGACCCTGCTCACCCCCACCTCGCCCCCACAGGCCTGCGTAAGTGAAGGAGCGCCCACCCCCTCCTGTGACCCCGCCAGCCTCAGTGACCCACTGCAGATGGTGAGCAGACGCCAGGTAGTGGAACGCACTGGGCCTTCCTGCCCCAGGGGCCCTGCAGGGGCTGAGCACCTGCCCCAGGGTCGAGTGACTGGACCTGAGCTGGTGGAAGATGGACGCAACATCAAAAAAGTTTGCTGTTTCCTTTTTCTTAAAAAAAAAGAAAAAGAAAAAGACACGGAAGGAAATGTCATGCCTGGCCTCTGGCAGCACTAGGGTTGATCTCCGTCCACAGCAGGCCTGGGGCTGCTGTCCAACGAACCCCCTTCCCTGGGAGCCCTGTCCTGGGGCAGCCAGGCACCCAGACGCTGCACACGCCCGTGCTGGGGAGAGGGGCTGGCCCCGGGACTGCGAGATGGGGAAGTGTGACCCCACCATGAAGGTCAGCATGAGTCCCTGGAGACCCCCACCCGAGTGCAGGTTCCTGACTCAGTACTGTGCGCACCCAGGCCCCACCTGCCCCAGGTGCTGTGGCTGGTGGAACCCTGGGGCGGGGGCTGGGCTTGCCCAGGAGCCACAGGACAAGAGCTGCCTGGAAATGTGCTGATGAGGGGCGAGGCCTGTTCAAGCACCCCCCCCCATGAAATAGTCCTAGGGCATCCCCCAAGGTGCCCACAAGTGGATTAAAAGGAACCTGCCCTCCAGACCATGTTTCTGAGATGCAGGGGCTCGTGGGGTATTCACAAGTTCAGTTTCAGGAGTGGCCCGAGGCCAAAGAGAAGAACCAGGGAAAGTGGGGAGCGAACGGGAGGGGCAAATAGCCTGGAATGGGACAGACCGTTTGGGGCGGGGTAGTGGGGAGGGGCGGGAGGTTCTGGAACAGAGTCTGCGCAGCACTGTCCAAGGAAAACCCACACTTTATTTTGACTCTTCCAAAGCTTCCACACGTAGGCTCCCACCCCCTCCACCAAGCCGTCCACAGCTCCCTCTTCCTCGCTGGGCTGGTCAGTGCTGGACACCAGCTCAGCCATCCCCAACGGGCCGCCAAGTGGGCCAAGGGACAGGCTGAGCGAGTGGGGTGCCCCCCTGGAGTGGTACTCACAGCTCCTGGAGGGGAGGAGGTGGGAGCAGCAGCTCCAGTTGGCTTGTCCACCCAGCTGGGACCCCTCAGCCCTGAGAGGTTCCTTCCCTGCTACTTCCTCCCCGGAAGATTCTTGGGGAGATCCTGGAGCACAGAGACCCTGAGAAGGCCGTGGCTCCTGCCCCCACCTCCGTGACGCCGAAGGGCCCCCCCACACCATGCATTTCCATCAGGACTCTGCTCCCAGGTTGGGATCCCCGTGGGGTCCATGCTCAGGCAGACCCCAGCCCCCTCCCCTTGACAAGGACGGCATGTGCTCTCCATACACCCCCAAAGCTGAGCGCCCCTCGCCAGGCTGCCGCTCTCTATGCCCGGCTAGTCGGGCGGCACCATCCCTCTGAGCACTAGGAAACCCGGGCAGAGATGTGACCAGTGGGTGTGGCTTAACACGCCCAAGCAAGCTGGCAGTGGCCGCCTGGGATGCTGCGTTGAGAAGGACTCAGAGCAGGTACCCAAGCACCAGGGGGAGTGGACGGGCAACGTCTGTGGGGCCAGGGAGGTGGCGGGAGTAAGAAGTGCTGTCTCCTGCCCCACCACCTGGTCCCTGCGACGCTGGGCCACCATCAGGACCACAGGAGATGGCATGCTTGCGGTCACTGTCCAGGCCCATTCCAAAATCTCGGGGGGAGCCTGGTGGCAACTCACTCACCTGGCCTAGGACAGGAAGGTGCGCACGCAGCTGCCGATGGGGGCCCTACAGATGGGGCACAGCTGCAGGCTGGGCGCGCACTCGGCACAGGCCAGGTGGCCGCAGGGCACGAAGACAACGGCCACGGCGCGGTCCAGGCACACACGGCAGGTCCGCTCCTCCCGCAGGCGCTGCAGCTGTTCCTCTGCATCCCGCGCTTCCTGGGGACTCCAGGGCCACCAGCACCCGCTGGGCCTGGGCTCCATCCGCTTCTCCACAAGGGCGACCTGTGACACCATCCCCACACCCTGACCTCAGCCCTCTGTGCTGGCAGGTGTGGGAGGCGGGCCAGACCAGGAGTGGCCGCCCCCACCGCAGGAGGCAGAAGGCCCGGCCCCACTCCCACCCTAGGCGCCCCCTCCACCTGGCTCCCTGGCTCCTTCCAACGGGGCCTCTCTTCTGGGCACGGGCAGCTCAGGCCCCAGGTGGACAGGAGCTGTGGGCAGTTAGAAGAGCCTTAAGGCCCAGGTCCCCAGGGAGGTGAGGCCTGGCCCAGAGACAGCCAGCAGCAGGCGAGGTCCAGTTCTGACTGGCAGTACAGCCCCTGCCCCTACATCTGCCCCCCGCCCCTCCCAGCGCGCCAGAATCCCGGCTCCCCCTCCACACCGGGGCGCTCTGCCTGTGCAGCGCCTCATGTGGTGCCATGGACACTGAGTGCCGGGCGCTGTGGGAGCAGTGAGGCAGGAGAGGTGGGGGCAGTGTCCAGAGAGGCGGAGGTACCTCTGGCCCCCACAGCCCGGCCCCTGTCCTCCTCCTGGAGCAGGTCGGCCACCAGCTGGGACGCGGACACGCTGGTCGGCACCGCCCGGCGGTACCTGCGCTGCAGCAGCTGCCACACTTGGCCCTGCCCGAAGCCCATCCCAAGCACGGCCTGCACGGCGGGGCACTGACTCCATGCGGGCCACTCCTGGCTGTCCCCGGCATCTGCAAGGTAGGATGAGGGGTGCTGGACCCAGGGCAGGCAGGGCCCAGGGCCTTGGGGTCCTGGGAAAGAGGCAGTGGCCTGCCACTCTGACCTGTCACCAGGGTCACCTCCACGTGAGAGCCCCTGTGGCCATCACGGCTGCTCCAGCCATGCCCAAGTCAGGGCTGTGTTCCCAGCGCCTGGATCAGAGGTGCCCCCACACAGGGAAGGTGACAGGCCTGAGACCAAAGCGGCCACAGACAGTCCTGCGACACACCAGGTGCTGCTCCCAGGGCATCACTGGACCCCGTTTAATCCCAAATGAGGTCGGCTCCATCCCATTTCACAGCTCAGAGCGCTGAGGCTCAGAGAACAAGATCATGTGTTACAGGGCTGGGTGGAAGCACCGGACCTGAACCCTGGAGCCCCTCAGACCCTACCCCACTGGGTCCTGGGCACCACATGGAAAGCAGAGCTCAGCACGGCGGCTCCTCTGTGTGCTGGTGACTCTGGCCAAGTGAGCGCTTGAGGGGTGACTGGCAGACACACTGGCAAAGGCCGCCCCTCTCCACGCCCCCGTGGCCACCTTTGGGAATGGCCGTGCCCACGGTGGCCAGCTCTGTGGTCTCAGGGGATGGCTTTGGCTTCACTGGAGTCCTGGACGCACACATGGTGTCTGTGGAGCCCCCCATGAAGCCAGCTCAGACCCCTTCACTCTCGGCTGTCCTGCGGAGGCTAGGGGGTACCCGACAGCCCCAGCCACAGTGCAGGATGGAGGTGCCCAAGGGAGCAGAGCCCAGGCCGCGCACCCTGGCTCACCTGAGGGGGCGGCTGGACCTGTGTCTTCTGGCTCCTCTGATCGGTCCTGGAAGGACCAGAGAACATTTGTGGAGCAGGGTGGGAGGGACCCTTTCCGCCTGCCCCCCAAAGCCCTAAGGACAGGCAGAACTCACCCAGGAGCCTGGCGGGCGACAAGACTCCTGGACGCTGCAGACGAAGTCCCTTCCTTTTGTCCGGAGCAGGAATTCACACCTGAGGGAGCAGGTCAGGAGCCCCGTGGGCAGTGGGCCTGCCCTGTCAGAGAGCCACCCCCACCAGGTCCAGGGCAAGCCCTGCAGACCCCCTGGCGGGGATGGCGCCATCATCTACCACTCCCCCAGACTCCCCGCAGGAGGCACTTGGGGCAGCTGCGTCAGGGTCTGTTGAGCATCAAGGAAGAAACAGCGCAAGTGCCATCTGGATGGGGCCCCGTCCCTGAGACCCTACACCCCGGGACATGGCAGGGGAGGCTGGTGCACGCCCAGCCCCGGGACCCCCCCACAGAGCCAGTACCTGGGGAACCACCGGGCATGCTCCGTCCAGGGGTCATCTCCTCGTTCCCAGCTCTGCAGACCTCCGTAGCAGAAGAAGCAGCGAACCTTGTCCTGCTGGCCTGGGGTAGAGCAGAGACGCTGGCCCCTCACATGGCCGGGAGTGTCCCCCAAGGCTGGGGTTGGGGGCTCCCACTGGCCTCTGCCACCCCCTTGCCCTGCATTCTCCTTGGGATTCACTCGTGCCTGTTTTATCGCAGGGGGAATGGGGGTAACAGTGGCTGGGGCGCTTGCCAGAATCGAGGCAAATGTTCGGTGAATGTTCGGGAAGGGAATGCAACTGCTCGGTGTCTGTGCTGTTCACAGAGAGGCTGAGGGACGGGCCGCCCAGCCAGAACATCCCGTGTCACTGCAGAGCTTCGGAGACAGAACTGCCCCCCACACCTCCACCCTAGGCGTCACCTCCTCAGGATGGATTCCCAGTGACCACAAGAAGGGACTGTTTGCTGCCAGGCTTGGTTTTAGAGGCTGACACCACCCGGGGGTGGGGACCCCGCATCTCTGCCCCTGCAGCCCTCACCTCTGTCTCACCCCATGCTGTCAACAGACTCATCCTCCTAGAGCCTGTCCGTGGCCCCCAGGGGCCCTGAGGATGCCCCCCACCTCCTGCTTCTCCTTCGGCCCCCACTGTCCCACCACTGACCCCTGACACCAGGGTGCACCTGTGCTGTTCTGGCCCCTCCCCGGGTGCACTTAATCTGAAGCACGAGCCCAGGAGAGACCCTAGGGCCGGGGACAGGTGTAGAAGGGCCCTGTGGCCCTCTGCATCAGGCCAGCACCTCCCTGCCATGGGGGAGGGGCTCCGTGGAGAAGGTGGGGCCCCAGCCCAGGAGGGTCCTGGATGGCCCCAGGCCCTCAGGACTCACCCGTGTGGAAGAAGCCGGCGGCAGCCAGCAGCTCGGGCTGTACCACGCTGGTCAGCGGCCAGTCATAGAAGGAGGCCAGCCGCAGCTCCTCGGAGCCCATCCCGGGAAAGGCAGGCCTGGCAGACAAGGCCCCAGGCCCCTCTTCCTCCTCCTCCTCTGCCAGGGGACGCAGCTGGCTCAAGATCTGCCCATCCGTGTGGTCCTGGCGCTGGGTGTGGCCGCACCGAAAGTGGGGCTCACGGTGTCCCCCAGTAGGGCTGCCGCCAGCTACCCAGTGGCTCGGCTCCGGGCCACAGTACTGACATTTGCCCCTGTTCTCCAGCCCCATGGAGAAAACAGCAGTCTTGACCAGTTCTGCAGCAGCGATGGGGCCCCTGGACAGCCAGTCCTGGAATGTGCCCAGCCAGCCCGCCTCGGGGCTCCTGATCGCTGGGCCCTGCCCGTAAACAGCCGTGGCCTTTGCCTCCAACAGCTGGGCAATGGGGCAGGCACGGTCCTGTCCACCAGGTGCCCCAGGTCGGGGAGAAGCCAGGGGCTGGGAGGGCCCCTGGGGCCTACCACCTTCTGGAAGGGTCCAGTGTGACAGCCTGTGTCACATGCTCCCTGCAATGGGAGGTGTCATGAGGCTCCTGGGCAGGGGCCTCAGCGGGTGGGGCCGCTGTCGGGGCTGCAGCCCTCACTCCACTCTTCAGGGGAAGGTGGTGTCTTGGTACAAGGGGAGGGGCCGGAGCACAAAGACCACTCCCGAGGCAGCAGAGGGCTGGTCCTGGCTCCGGGACCTCCGGGGAGGGGAGGGGAGGAGGGGTGGGCTTTGCTGTCGGTCAGCTCTGAGTTCCTGGGCCAGGCGCCAGGGGGCCTCTGAAAGCAGAAGGTTCCAGGTCGCCTGAGCCAGGCAGTCAGTGCCGCCCAGGAGGGGAGGGCAGCCTCCTCTACAGGGACGACACAGGGCAGCCAAGGCGGTCACGTGGGCGGTGGGAGCCATGTCTGCTGTGGTTCTCTGTGGGGTCCTGAGAGCCTGGGCCAGAGTGTCATAACGTTTGGTGGAAATCAAGCGAGAGGGGTGGAGGAAGGGGGAAGGATGGGTTTTATTTTACTCCCCCTTAGAGAAGGATGCTCTGCACTGCCCCATCTCCACTCTGAGTAGAGCTCTCCAGAGCAGACCCTGAAATCAAGGCCAGGGTGTAAGAACTTTATTTGGGGGTCACTGCAGGAAGCAGCAGGAGGCCGTGGGCAACGTGCCGATGCTGGGTGTGTTCCAGAGGGGTTCTTGCCATAGGCTCCCCTCCTGGGGGCCTCAGAGCCTGTGCACCCCTACCCACTGGGCCCAGTTCCCTGGCTCTGGGCAAGTGGCCAGCAGGCTGAAGAGTCACGGGCAGAGCCACAAGGGGCCAGCAGAGGGCGCCTGGGGAGAGTGAGAGCCAGGGCAGATCCAATCCTGGGCTCCTCCCACCCAAGGGCTGAGGCTGGACCTCCAGACCTTAACCCAGCTATGGGCCTGCATGCAGCCATCCGGACCACAGCTTCAGGGCTGTCTTCCCAGCCCAGTCCACATCACCGGGGCTTATTAAATCAGACGATTTCCTGGGCATGCGTGGCCCCAGGCCTGGGCAGGAAGATCAGCTTGTCCCTGCAGATGATTCAGCACAGCTGAGCCTGGCTCCTTCCTGCCCTTCTCCAAGCCCAGGCGCCCCTTGAGGCAGAGCTGGGAGGCTGGGGGTGGGTGGAAGACATGACATGGGGCTTGACGTTGGAGGAGGGAAGGCTGAACGGTGGCCTTCTTGTCTCAGTCCTGCAGAGCCTGGAATGTTCACTGACAGGACAGACCACCTCATCTGGAGACGTAAGAGGTCACATCTCCAGCCCCAGATCCCAGCCCAGGGCTCCAGGGGATTGCTGGGTTCAGCTTCAGGAAGGGCTGGATCAGGGAGCTTGCTAACCATGGTCAGCAGGTAGCAGGCCTCCAGGGAAAGCTGAACTGATAGGCTGCAAGGGTAAATGGGTACTGCCTACCCCAACTCCATGTGGGCTGAGTTTGGGGGTGGGGGTGGTGAACAGATTACAGGGGCTCAAAACCTCTGTCTTTCTGCCTCTCCCTCTCTCCTTCACACTCTGTAGATTTTCAAGCTCACAAGGAGGCCCTCTTTGGGGCAGGAGGTCTCAGGCATGGGTCGAGCAGAGCTCTTGCAGACAATTGATGACCTGGCTGGGCCCCAAGCGTCCCCAGGGTGGGCATGAGGTACAGAGGAGCCATGGGAGGGTAGGGCAGACCACTCTCATGGGAGAAGAAATGAAGAAGCAGCTGAGTGTGCTGTGCAGAGGGCAGGGAAGAGTGTCACAAGCAGAGGGAACAGCAGTAGTGGAGGCTTGTCTGGTTGGTCCTCAAGGGGACTAGAGGCACAGGGAGGTGCAAGGCTGTCTAGGGCAGGTCAGGGGGACCCTGGAGCCAGTCAGGAGGTGCTAGCTGAGGTGCGAGGTGGAAGGGTGTCTTCATCTGCAGGCCCCTAGAAGCCAGCCATTGAGGGACCCATGGCCAGGGCCACCACCCCTTAGGCCCCACCCCCAGCTCCCTGCTGGGGAATCGGCACAACCTCTCTTGGGGGCAACCTGCCAGATCTAACAACATGCAGGTGGCCAATGTGAGTGCCTTCTGACCCAGGGACCCCCCTGCAGGAGCCTCCCTCCAGGGGTCCTTGCACAGCTATACAATGGAACCTGAACAGGCTGCGAGAGACCTTCTGTCTTCCACCCTGTACTTTTGAATACAAAGACGAGGTTTTTAACCACATGCCCATATGCCTTTGAAATAAGTAGAAAATCAAATCTCTTTAAATCAATGCTGGCAATGTTTAGACAATCCCATACCAGCTGGGTCCGGCAGACAGGGGGTGTCTGAAGGTGGAGGGTCCAGGATGGGGTGGGTTCTCCCTGCCATTGGACCTGCAGGGGAGGAGACCTCTGTACCCCGTGCCTGCATGGACTCAGCTCCTCCTGGAAGCTGGAGGATGGCCAAGGGTCAGGTGGGGAGGGCAGGAGCAGAGGGTTCTAGACAGTGGGAGAGCCCATGGGTCCTAGCACAGACCCTGGGGCTGGGCCATCTTTGCCCCAGAGGTTCTTGTGCTGTTCCAAAGCCTGAGCTGGTCAGTGTCATTTGAGGCCCCTACCACCCCTCCCTGTGCCAGGAACTACTCTGTCCCCAGCTTGCTGGACCCGGGCCTCCCTGTCCCAGAGAAGCTGGGCTGGAAAGGTGAGACTGGAACAGTTTTCTCTCACCTTCTTCACAGCTGGACCATGGTAGTGGTCCTCTGCAGTTACAGGAAGCTCAGCTTTAGACTCCTTGACACCAACTTCCTGTGTCCTCATGCCTGGCAGAGGAAAAGGCTTCCCCTGAGGCTGGTCTGAGGGCCTCAGCCACCAGTGCTGGGCTCACATAGTCTCTACATAGGGCTTTTGGGGTCCCATGTTTCCTGCCAGCTGGGGCCACGCTGCCCCCTGCCCTGGGCGACCCTCACTCTCCCCCTTCACTGAGATCAGTGAGGGACACTGCCAGATTTCCCAGCTGGCAGGGTGGCAGCCTGGAGGGTAGTGGGGAGGTGGTGGCTATCAGATCTGCCCCTTCCCTGGCCAGCAGGCTGGTCTGACCACACCTCCTCAGGCCTCAGTTTTGGGGGCTACTCCTTTCACTGCTCAGCCCTATAGCTCACCTCCAACTTTTTCAGTGGACATCACCTGTGATCCCTATATTGGCTGAATAGTGTCCCTCTGTTACCTGGGAATGTGATCTTATTTGAAGACAGGGTCGCTGCAGACAGAATGAAGTTAAGATGAGCTCATACTGAAGTAGGGTGGCCCTAAATCCAATGACATATGTCCTTATAAGAAGAGGAAGAGTCAATACACAACACAGTGAGAAGACCATGTGATGATGGAGACAGAGCACCAAGGACACCTGGGGCCACCAGAAACAGAGAGAGCCAGCATTCCAGGCCTCGTACCTTCAGCAGGACAAGGACAGAACACAGACCTGGGCCTTGTGAGGGTGGCACACCTGCCAGAGCTGGAAAAGAAGAAAAGACCCACTTGGAAGCCACGCTGGGAAGTAGTCGCAGGGGCCCCAGAGCCAGGAGGGACATCCAGGCTGGAACCTTGCGTGGGTTAAGGCACGGAAGTGAGTAGGAAGTGGGAACTGGGCTCCCTTCAGGAAGCTGGAGACAAGAAGGGGCTGTCCACCCCTGAACAGAGACCGAAAGACCCAAAAGGGCGCCATGCAGAGCTGAACTCTCTTTTCCTTCCCGCGGTGAAACCCGGAGTTAAGAATCTAAATGCAAGCTAGTTATAAACTGGGGAGCCCCTTGTAGATCCAAGAGTGCTTGCAAAGCCGACCTTCAGGGAGGCCCGAGCCCAGGGCTCTACCGGCACAGCTGCTGCAGAAGCCAAGGAGCCGCCCCGAGGACAGCAAAGCTCGGCGCCTGGGCGCCCCTCCGAGGGATGCCGGCGGGGCGTTTGGGCGAGCAGCAGGGTACAGTGGACTGCAGCCTGCTGTAAGTGGCTTTCGGGGTGGCTGCACTTGCTGGCTTCGCTTCTCCCGGTCCCGGGGACCAGCGCAGGGGTGCCATCGGGCCCACTACCCGAGCCAGCCAGCGGCTGCACGCGCCGAGACTCTGCAGCACCACGGCCCACGCTGCGGCTGCGCGCCCGAGGCCCAGTAGGTGCCCACCTGAGTCGCGGCCCCCGCA